CACCTCGTAGGCAACTCTTTTTTTTTGGACAAGCCTTGAGCCTCTCGTACGGGCAAAATAACACATTTTGTGAAGAATCAACACAACTCTTGAACCTTTGTACAACTTTGCTGTAGAAAAGGTCAAAATCGTACGTCAAATCGCTTGTCGCATCGCATCGCAAAAGTTGAGCCAAGCTCAACTTCTGCGATGGCCTGCGATGGCCCAGTTGCGGCAGGTGCGTGGGGTGCGACATGGCTGCGATTTGGGGTTTTCCCGGTTTCGCGTCTGTCGCATCGCGTGTCGCATCGCAAAAAAGCTTCTGTGAATCCCGCTTAAGAGAGCGATAAATCATAGCATCGTAAAAATCATGTTGCTGATCAACCTGATCATCCAGATTTTGATTATGATCTTGATTGTCGATCAACTCAATGAAATCTGTCGACCTGCTGTGTCACGCGGTGGTCGGGCACGGCCAGTTTCAGGACGCAAATATGCCATCTTCGATTGATCAAATCGAGGTTTGTTCAATATGTTTTGCACTTCAGATCAGAGCTTTCCTCCCAGTGAAAGTTCAGGGAGGGAAGTGCTTGTTGTTCCGAGTGACAAGGGTTGTCAGTTCATATTTCTTGTCAGACTCGGTAGAGGTGACCACGCTGCAGTGTTTGGCGTGGTGGCGTCTGGAGCGGCGCCTTGTTTTGGCGCTTGAGGAGGCGCTTGCTGTCGTCGGGTAGGAAATTGGAAATGCGGCAATGTGGTGAAGTGAAAATATTGAAATTTGTTTATTTCCAGAAAGCGTGGGACACTTTTTACGAGACATGTACATGGCCTGGGTGGAGACATGGCCTGGGTGGAGACATGGCCTGGGTGGAGACATGGCCACTATCATGCAGTGCATGGTTCAGGGAAATAGACGCCGTAAATGGTTCACGCCATGGCCCTTTAAATTTGGCTATTTTAGCGATGCAATTGAGTGATATTTGGAGATGATGGCCATTGCTTTCCTCGACGTAGCCATGGCTCTATGTGGTGGTGATGTGAAGACTACTCAGGTGAGGTAATGTTGGCATGGTGATGTGAAGACTACTCAGGTGAGGTAATGTTGGCATGGTGATGTAGAGACTACTCAGGTGAGGTAATGTTGGCGTGGCGATGTGAAGACTACTCAGGTGAGGTAATGTTGGCATGGTGGTGGTTTGTTCTTAGCTAGTGTACGCTGTACCAGTGCTTGTTTTTGGATCCAAAATTCAGTCGTATTTTGGGCCCATTTCGAGGTGGTCCCCAGTTCCAAGGTGTCCGTAAGTTATGCCACAAGCCCTTTCGCATGGTTGTTGTAGACCCCAAAGGAAACCTACTTGCAAAATTTGAGCAAAATGGGAGAGATGGCCCCGCCCAGCTTTTCTGGTTTTCTCCGACATGCTTCCTTAGAGTTTCATGCTTTTTCCATAATCAGGCAACCTCAGGACAGTGCTGGCCATGCCGCTCGCTGCTCTATGTGCCAGGAGAGGGCGGGCTTTGTATGGGTGTGTGAAAAACTGTTTGTGAATGCGGTGCATAGGTTTCAGGGCTAGCGGTGTCAGTATTCTAGGCAGGAGACTGTGTGTGTGTGTGCAGAGTGTGTGGTTGTTGAAGGCAGGGGAGCTGTAGAGGCAATGGCAGGGTTAGCAGTGCAACATCAGCGCAGAATATGTGGCTGGTGTGGGCAGGAGGTTGTACGCAAGGTGTGTGGACGTTGTAGGCTGGAGGCTGTAGAGGTAATGACAGAGCTAGCAGTGTGGTGTTAGCACAGAGTACATACATGACATAGCTGGTGTGGGCAGGGTGTATGTGTGGGCAGGAGGCTGTGGAGACATTTCAGGTGACACCATAGTATTTAAGTAGATACCTGTTCTCATGTCGTCACTTAGACACCATATTTGGCTGCTTGTTGAGGCTGGATTGTGATTTTAGCGGCAAATATAATTCAACAAATCCCTGTTGCATGGTATATGATACCTATATTCCGTCACACCGGCATAATATCACTCTCAGCAGACTTTGAGGTTGCAGATCGGTTTGAATATTCTCTTGATCAAAGGTTGATTATATATAATTATTTATCACTCTCTTATTATTGACCCCCACATAAACTTGTGATCTCTAAGGGGTCAAATATCAGCATATATTGACCACTTATATTGACCACTTATTATTAACCACTTAGCCCGAGGACTTAGAACTTTTTCCTCAACTTAGAAAAAAATCAGAACTGAAAGAAGATAAATCTGAAGCCAAATGCTGGGATTTGAACCCAAACTGTCAGATTCTCAGTCAAAGAACTTGGGGAACGTACTACAAGAGACAACTGAAAACTTCGGTTTACACAGAAGTAATGTCCAATGTAAACGGCATATGTATATGTAGGACTCAGTATAGAGTCCATGCACTATATGATGTCCAGCACCCTATATAGAGTCCATTGGTCCAAAATCCACTATACAGAGTCCAGGAGTCCACTCAGTTTTGATCGGCTTCATCCTGCCGCGCAATCCCCTATAAGGAGTACACTTTTTCTACAAGTCCCCTATTCACAGTCCAGGAGTCCAGTTTATCCAGTCACGCCGTCCTGTGTGTTGTGCCCGAAAGAGAACAAACACATTTTCAGTTTTGCTTGCCTCGTGGCAGCGCATTCCTTTCTCCACTTTAGCCATGGCTCCCAGTTCTGCTGTGCAGTTGCTGACAGTAATCTGTCTCGAGGTAACCAAGGAGGATAAGGAGACGTTCAAAATCAAATCTGGAAAGCGTCTTGTGGTTCTCTGAAGACGTTTCATCAGTGCGCGGGATGAAAGCAGAAATTGCAGAACGAGAAAAGTTCAGCACAGTTCAAATCTGACGAGTCAGGTACACTGACACTCTCTTTCGTTCGACGCCACAAGGATCCCCTGTTTGGATGGCCATTGCTGCCAGTAAGACGTTTGAACGGTTTCATCAGAGCGAGGGATGAAAGCAGAAAGCGGAGAAAGAGAAAAGTTCAGCACAGTTCCAATCTGACGAGTCAGATACAATGACACTCTCTTTCGTTCGACGCCACAAGGATACCCCTGTTTGACTGGACAAGAGCTGCCTGTACCACCGTGTCAAAAGGCTGTCCAACTACATGACAAGACGATGACTGAGGTAAGGAAGCTTTTACTCGTTTCGATTGGTCTGCTGTTCTGTCGTTATGCTTGAATTTGTTTCCATTTTCAAGGAGCGTATCGTGTTTGTTTGATGTTGCTTGAATGAATGCCCTAAAAGTAATCAACCACTTCGTAATAGTCCTCAAGGACTGCAAGGACTTTGCATCAATCGTATACGATCGTCTAGCTATCATCAATTATTATAATTATTTCATGAGAAATGTATTTTTATCCCTGTGAAAATTATGTGAAACTCCACGACACTCTTCCTCTACAAATTATAGTATGATGTCAAATACAATGGGATCCACAAACGCAGTGCCAGTGTACTAGTAGTAGTAGGAGGATTGCTTGTATGCCAATGACAAGAAAAAGCTTCAAGCTAATACTCGTATTCCCTGAAGTAACCGTTTTGATGTCACGAACATGACATTGTGTCAGTGAAACTGCCTCGTGACAACAAATCATTGCATTTCCATCTTGGGGAAGACTGACTGACGGCAACGCTTTACAGATTGTTCAAATCATCTCATTTCAATTTAGTTGCAGTGAAACACTGTGTACACTACATGTATGTTGGTGTGTCTGTGCGTCTTGAGTGTGCACAAACGATCTTATTCCTCGTATTACTAATAGATTATTGTCCCCACCGTCACCTGTTCACAGGTCTTTGAGTGGATTGATTTTCATTGAGCATCACATTCGTTGAGAACTTGGTAGTTGTGTGCTCCCATGCATCATTACGTTAATAAGCGTATCCTTGTGCTATATATTTGTTGCAGGTGTGCTGATCTTCAGAAGCTTGCGGAACTGAGTGCTGCTGAACATTTGCATGGCCATGAGGAATGGTGAAGCTTGCTATTGCACTCTCAGCATGTGCTAGTATTATGCTGACCACTGCACTATGTTACTCTCTCACACTACTACGTGTATGTAAACGTGCGTGTACCCGTCCCCGTATGCATTCGTTTCGTATAATTATTTGTTATCCCTCTTGACTTTACGTGTAAATGGGTGGACGTTTGCATGGCTGTTGGAGTTGCGTGTGTATTGTGTCTCTACTCTTTTATTGGTGTTTTCTTGGCGTTCTATAAGTTTGTGTGTGTGTGTGTGTGTGTGTGTGTGTGTGTGTGTGTGTGTGTGTGCGCGCAATAGTTTGAAAACAAATAATTGATCCTGGGCTCTCCATTATTCTCTTTCGATTCTTGTTTTTTTCTAGGTATTTTCTTGGCGTTGTGTGGGTGTGTACATGTATGTGTGTGCGTGCACAATAATTTGGCAACACTGCATGATTGAGATATTGTAATTTGCAGCGTCTGCGTAGAGACCACTTGATTTGAGGATGGTGTTTGTAGGGTTTTTCATGTAGTGAAGTGGCAGCAGTGGCGCCTCAATACATATTTTTAATCTTGAGAAGTGAATGATGTAAAGGATAAGGGAGAGGCCGTTTTCTGGTTAATATTCACTGCTTACAGCAGATCCTATGTCTAATTTCGAACTCGATAGGGGATGCCTAATTGGCTGGACTTTATACAGGGAGTGTTGTCCACATAAAGACTCTTTAATCTTTATAGTTGATTTCAAAATTTGGACTCCGTACAGTTGATTTTGGACCAATGGACTCTATATAGGGGTGAAGCCATTTGGCTGGACTCTATACAGGGAGTGATGTCCATCTAAACTGAGCTCACAGTTGATTCCAATTTTGGACTCTGTACTGTGGATTTTGGACCAATGGACTCTATATAGGGGTTGGACATCATATAGGGGCTGGACGCTCTACTGAGTCCAACATATATACTATTATACTATTACAATAGTATTCCTTTCTTCTAGGGGTGAAACGGTTACAAACGGGTAGCAGCCAATAGTAACAGTTACTATACATTTTCTGCGAGGAGGACATGCAAAGTCATGCAATTCACAGCAAGTGCACTACAACGCGACAAGCGCAGCATGCGCACGTACTGCGCTACATGCAAAACAGTCAAAATTGTCTAATTTAGGAGGATCGAACAAGCAACAACACATTCAACCTGTACATCAAATTGAACAACTGTGCAAATCAGCTAATATTACCGTACTGTACCGTCGTACACGACTAACAGGTACTCGTTTGCTAACGGGTCAGCAGCTAAACAAACGGGTACACGGGTACCCGGATCACCCCTTTCACCCCTTGCTTTGCTATAGGAAGAAAGTTTCTTCCTATAGCAAAGCAAGAACAGTTTTAGGTATGCTATGTCGTGATAAATCTATTATTGCCCTCATAATCGGTCAATATATGAAATATAGACCTGGTAAAAGACCTCGGGGGACCTCGGTCTTTTACTCGTTCTATATTTCATATATTGACCTCTTTAATCGTGCAATAATAGATACATATAATATATATGTATCATCAGCGCTATGAGATCAGAGAAGGGAAGAGTGAACGAAAACGAGAAAAAGAAAACGAGGAAAACGAAGAAACGCCTTCTAACAAATGTAGTCTAGGCATGTGAGATAGGGTGGTATTCTACGGTTCTGTTGCTATCACCCATCACTATACAGTGACCATGGCTACTGTTGGTTGGTCGAGGTAAGCAGACCGGACACTAAGCATAGCGAGCAGCAGATACAACCTGCGGAGTATGTTGCAATATCTACCAGATATCATCTTAATCTTTCACTGCCACCAGAAAAAAGACAAACAGACACACGCACATGCACACACACACACACACGCATGCACACACACAGACACATACACATGCACTCACACGCACGCGCGCACACACACGCGCACACCCACACGCACATACGTACACACGTACACACACACCACACACACACACACACACGCAAACAAAAAAACGAAGCTTGCTCCTGTGCTACATGGCCAAATCCACCAAATCCTCACTCACGGAAAGCCAGACCAGATGACCACAAAACAAACTCAGTGATTTCCAAGTGCTGAACATGTTCTGTGAATAGACGTCGGCGGATAATGCTCGAAAATCACACGGATTATGCTTTTCAGTATGCTGGCAATATGCTCTGAAAATCACTAAATTATGCTCAAATTATGCTTCATGACACTGTGCTCTTTCATGTTTATAATGCCACTGAAATGTATAGAATGTGTACTCGGGATCAAATGTGGACTTCCGGAGAAAACTGCATGGAAGAAGATCTAGTCTCAGCTATGGAGAAGGAACCAGGATACAGTAATAGGCACTGCAACATCAATAGAAGCACAATTATGTACAGAAATAGTAGAATAGAATGCAGAGTCACTGCAGTGATTTATGCATGACACTGCATTTGGGAGAATAATGTGCAAGAAATTTGAAAACAATAACAGAAAATAATACCAGTCGAACAGTGGCAGCTTTGGCTGCTGGAGAGACCACATCCTACATGCATGTACTGATCACCAATTCAAAAGCCAGAGGAAGAAGCTGTGAGTTGGAGTCAACACAACTGCAACAACTCTGCAACTACTTCAGAGCAGGGCGATGTGACCACGATTGTACTGGAGCATCAACGATGCCTCCAGTTGGTCAGAAAGCAAGCGTGCCTGACGTGAACTGGTGGCAGCTTCACAAAGGGAGAACACACGCTCTGCTGGAGCAGACGATGGCAGCAGCGCAAACACAATGCGGGCTGCAAGCTTCCATGCTTGAAGGCCAACCTGATTCCTCCACCATCTTAGACGACGATGAGTGTCATCGATGACAGCGTCTTCTGCAGCAAAAATGTAAGCTGGCAACTCCTCCAGCAGACGGTTCACGAGGGCGTCATCACTCATGCCGGGAACAATTCTAAGCGCTTGTACGTGGGCTTCGGTCAAGCCAATTGCTCTGGCCTGTTGTGGGCAAAGAATTCGCACCGCCTTGAATAACTTCACCACTTCAAACATTGGGGTACCTTGCTTGTTAAACTTGGTGCGGAAGTATTGCACCGCAGGTGCTACGAATACCTTGGCTTGCGTCACCATAGCTGCGGCAGCGGCCGCATTGCCACCAGCTATGTCATCGGCTGTTGCAATTGTTTCGGGGTAGTTCTCTACTGCAGCAGCAGAACACAGCTCTTGCAGGCAGGCATAGGCATCCACCACCATTTCACCATCGCCTTCGAGCAGATACGTCTTCTGGACAATTGGCTTCCCCATGTCGATGGTGATGGCCAGCTGCAGGCGTAGCTGTGTTTGCTCATCTGGATCTTCAAGAACTCGTTTCAGCTTGGCCACAGTGGACGGGCAGCTTTGGAGATCAGCTAGGAATACGTTGACGTGTCGAAATAGACGGTGTAGTTGAGCAAGTACCTCCCACCAACTCCACCACCGAGTGGCAGAATATGAACGGATACTCTCGCCGCTCAGGTTTTGCCAAACCAGTCGTGAAGCGGGGCTGTGACTGAACAGAGCTACCCATGCCTGGAGGAAGGAATCCAGCAGATCCGTGTCAAATTTTCTCCCAATCAGATCAAGAGAATGCGGGATGCAAATGATGTCAGCTAGCTGTGGGTACAGGGCATCCTTGAGGATCTTGACAGCAGCACTATTGACACTTGCACCATCACGAACCATAGCCAGCACACGCTCACTTGGATATTGCAGATCAGTTGACAATGTGGTGATGATTTCTCTGGCCAATTGCTGGGCATTTAAGCTCTTTGCAAGCACATGTACGCGGACAAGTCGTTGGCAGATCTCAAAGTCTTCACGGACGAATCTGATGAGGATGACGAGCATTTCACCCAAGTGTGTGCTTCCATCGAATATGACGCAAATGAATGGCTTGTCTTTCAGTTCCTCCTTCAATCTATCACGTTCAACTTCCAGAACAAAAGGGATATAGCTTGCTAGGTGGGTTGAAAACGTCAGCCTTTCTGCACCTGCTTCTAAAAGGGGCCGTAGGTAGTCTGCCTTAGCTAACGGAATGCCAGCCTTCAGGAACGCAGTCACTGTCTCAATCCGTCGCACACTTTGCTCCGTTGGTACTGCTTGGGAAAGCCCAGTTCCAGCCAGGCTGTGTCGTTGTTGATACTGCTCCCAGCTCTGGATGAGGCGCTGCTGGTGCAGGGACTGCTGCTGGTGTGTCTCCTTCCCCTTACTATGACGATGGGAGGTGATGTGCAGCTTCACAATACTCTTTTTCACGGATAATACTGTACAACAGACTTCACAATAAAGCTTTCCAGAGGAGACAGTAAGATATTCAGCTGGAAACTCCGTGACCCTCTGGTGTGGACTGATATTGACAAGCTGGGTGCTAGAACCTAGCGAAACTCGAGTCTTCTTCGCATTTGCTGAGGTGTTCGCCTTCTCCGTTGACGTTCTTTTCATGGAACGGTCTCTGGAAATTCGAGCTTCATCTGCTTTCTCCAGGTGATCGGCTGCATTACAATTGCTGTCTTCTTCCTCTTCTAATACGTCGACTTCCATGTCAGACGGATAATCAAGTGCCCTGTCACGGGCGCCCGCGGACTCCATTCGATCCGTCACGCTACTTCAGCCGCCATAGACTATTACGTTCAAGGAAACTTCTGATAGGATTGGGCCGTAGGACTAAACATCCAGGAGGAATGCGTTTGTTGACAGTTACAACTACGTAATGACTAGTAATCATGGTAATTATTATCATGGTATATGGCGCTGCATGCTGTCGTCGTGGATGGTATGACTCCCTGAAAGGGCCTGATGTAACACCTGTTACATTTACGGTGTAGATCAGGCCCTTTCAGTTTCACGGAGCCGTGCCAGATATACCGTGGTATGGTACGACTCCCTGCCGAGTCCCGGGTGTAGATCTATTTATAGGAGGATTCCCTTGCCTTTGTAACAAACAACGGACTCTGGACGGTGAACTTTTGACCTTTGAGGCCCTAGCGGTTTTATGCAGCAGTTATGCTGAAGGACCAACTAAATTATGCTCGGCAATGCTATTTTTCAGAAAGCCGTGATTATGCTCAAAATTATGCCGGCATTATCCGCCGATGACTATCTGTGAATCCCTGGCAACATTGTTAACTATAGTTTGGATGGCAGTGAGTAATAATAATTATTACTTGAATTAATTAATTAAAAACGAAGGTAAGTATTAGGTCACAAATAGCCACGGAAACACACACATCTAGTCAATAAAGGCACTTGTCATAAAGTATCCGAACGTTTTCAGTCCCTTCTCATCAAGGATTGTACAGGGAATGAATTGCTCAAGCTGGAAAGACTAAAACTTATATGGCGTAAAGGTAATGAGATAGCAACACTCGTGGCAAGGTGGAAAATTATCAAGTTCGGAACGACACAAAACTCGAAGGAAAATATTGATAGTGACAACAACATAGTGAGCAAATTTAGTTACATTGTTAACACGTCAACGAGGAGCAACACCAAACAATTGTAGCGACAACACATTTTCTTTCTGTACACAAAGTTCAGGATCTAATGTACGTATATACAAAGCTTCTAACACAGCCAAATGCAACGCACATCTACCACGTGACAATATTGAGAAAACATTATCACTGTACAACTCACGACAATTGGTACGAGCTGACAGATTATGCTTGATTGACGAAGTGCGATTCTTAGCTCCGTTGGGTGTTGTCTCCTCCAATGTCCCGTGATCTCGCCTCTTCGCGGCACCACCACTATCCGTCTCTGTCTGTTTTCGCGGCCTTCCACGTTTCCTGACACTGGCCATTGTGTGTGTGCGATGCCCAGTGTCCTTTCAGCCACGTCTCCTCCATTGCGGTTTTCTGTTGAGCTTCTTACTTCAACATGTCCAGTGTCCGATGTCGAGGTTCGTTTTCGAGGTCTACCACGTTTTCGAATATTTACTGTTGTTGTCACTTCCGTTGTCATTGTACGTGCGTCCTCACCAGTCCGTAGTGGATAGTGGTGGTGCCAACGCACGGCTTCTGGCACTTCTTAGTATTGTCAGCCTTGCACACACATACACTCAGAAAGTTGTAATTTTTGTACACCACTGAGAAATCGGAGGCCTCTGCCACCTTCTTCCCCAAGAAGTGCAGTGCCACTGGCCAGGATCTTACTTCCGGCCATTTACCTGACCTTGTTCCAAACGGACCAGCGGCAATCACAGCTGCTCACTTTCGCCCGGCAACTGTCTACCGTCTCCTAGCGTGATGCAACACGTCAAAGACGCCTAGTCCTGAGGGCATTTCAGCCCGGGTCCTGAAGAATGTGCAAAAGAGCTTGCGAAGTCTTTGTCCAAGCTATTCGCTCTCTGTTCCAGATGTGGAGTTCAACAAAATCTTTGGAAGACAGCTAACGTGGTGCTGGTCCACAAACGGTCCTCGCGCTCTGTTCTGAAGAACCACCAGCCAGTCTCGTTGTTATGCATAATGTGTCATGTAAAGCCATGGAAACTATAGTCAATCGCCAAAATGATGAACCATCTCAAACGCCAGCAGCTCCTCACTCCCCACCAGTTTGGGTTCCGTAAGGGTCTTGGCACGGCAGACGCACTACAGGCACTTCATAACGCCTGGTTGGGCATCGTTGGCCAAGCCAGCAGTGCGGCACGAATTCTCGCAGTCGATATAGCCGTGGCCGTTGGCTGGGTGTTCCACGTGAGCCTCCTCTACAAGGTCCGGAATTACTGGCACTCTTCATAGCTAGCGATGGCCGTTCACTCCAGTGCTTAGTCGGCGAGTAGATTTCTTCTCTCTACACAATCTCTGCAGGTGCAGCCCAGGGCAGTGTATTGGGCTCTACGCTGTTTTTAATAATTATATTAGAGAGGTTTTGGGGTAGGATTTTCCGTGCCAAAATCTTTATGGGCGGTGGTTTTTTCCAGGCCTGCTCCATACGATTTTTCGGCATTTTCACGTACAAATTTGGTACGAGAAACATCGATTTTCAGCGGGAAGCTTTGATTTCGGTACAAATTTTTCAAAATAAAAAAGGCATAGCGCGAGAATGTGACGTGTTTGCGATCGTAACCTAGGCAATGACGGCAAACACACAAGTTCCGTACTCAGGAACATTTCACTGCTCGAAAATGAGGTATAAAAATCCGAAGCGCCTCTACGGATTTTGGCACGAAACATCGTACTCCGGCACTACTTGAATCTCAACTTTCCGACATGGACTGTCACGGATGCTATCCACGGGGGAATGAACACAATGTGATATAATACCTAATAATATATGTGGAGGGGGGGGTGCGTGCGTGCGTGCGTGCATGTGTGTGTGTGTGTGTGTGTGTGTGAATGCTAAGAGAATAGTTTATGGTGACTCTTGCTTCACAGTTTTTACACATACACACACACACACACACACACACTTTTGACCTTTTGACGCCTATCGCCGGGAGGCGATGATAGCAATGCTACGGCAGAAGCCATAGTAACTTGTGCGGAGATTGCACCATTCAACAGCTTGCAAGGCGGAAGAATTGACCATCACTATTCAGCCTGGTCTACACCATAAAGCTATTTGAAGTGACTTTTTCTGGCCGGTAATCCCTATTTTTGGTCTTTTCAGAAACTAGCACCCGAACGACATCTGCAACTAGGTACCGATTTGGCTCGAGATGTGCCTGCCACGTTGGGAGTTCCTCGATCATGTCTTGGAGTTTTCAGCCACTGAAAGAATGTGGGGTCGATTTGGAAAAGAATCCCAGATCTTATCCGGAAGCAGAGTTAGTTTGGGCCAATCGACCGGGCATACTTGCCGGGGCTCACACCTCCAACACACGCTGAACACTTATTTGCTGACGATGTCACCCTCCTGTATGTACATGATAACACGAATTCCCTGCAGTGGAACCAATCTCGTCTAGAGAGCGACCTTTCTGCCTGCCACCTATGGGCCAGCAACGGCGGTAGAGAGTTCTCACCAGCCAAAACGACTCAGATCCGTAACTACAGTAACGACCACCCTATCCAGCTCTCTTCCCAACCTATCACCTTCTTTGAAGCTGCGAAGCATCTTGGAGTGTATTTTAACACCCGACTAGTCCAACACCGTCCACCTTCAGACCATCCTGAAAACCTTCCAACGTCGTGTTAATCTGCTATGCTTCATGGGACGGCATCTTGCCTCACAGCCTTTCTACTTCTATATAAACAAAGGCACACAATGAAAACCTTGGCAAATTAACTCCGTTGTGACTCAGAGTTTCATGGCTGAACCAATCATCAGACAACAATAATGGAATAGGAGGCAGCGCTGGTATATCTAAGTGGAGAGAGGTGTGATAATACGATAGCGAGAGGAGTAATAGCGTGAATGTATAAAGGGACAGGCTATTTCAGAGGCAGATGCAGTAGGCGCAGGTCTAGCACTAACAAGCACGCGTTTAATCTCGCTCACACACCACACCCACACACACACACACACATACTAACACGCACACACATAGTAACACCCACACACATACACGCACACACTATCACACACACACACACACACACACACACACACACACACACACACACACACACACACACACACACACACACACACACACACACACACACACACACACACATACACCCACCCACAACACCCTAACTTGCACACGGGCGCACGCACACACAAACACCCACCCACAACACCCTAACTTGCACACGCAAAAACACACGCATACACGCATATACACACCTATAGATATAATGCGCACACATATACACACACATGTCCACACGCACACGCGCATACACAGGCATCTACGTTCGTATGACCAATCTAAGCGCACACAAACTCCTGCAATCACGCGTCAAAAACCCCGCAGCGGTCATAGCTGTCTATGTTATAGGGGTGGCCAGCACAAACTTGCGCTGGTGAGGGCATTTAGATACCAGCTCACTTCTCTTGTTTAGGGAGGTAGCTTTTGAAGCTTTCAGCATGTGGAACTTTTCGGTGAGGCATACGCCACACTTCTTGCTGATGTTACTGTATGAAGGTGCTCTATCCTTGATCTCCCATCTGATGTCGAATCTGCGGTTCTCGTTTTTCAGATCCCAGATGTGCTTGGACAACTTAGTCGATGCGGCGTACTTTTCATGGCGGAAGTCCGAAGTGTATTTGTTGTAGCGCTGCATCTGCCGCTAGGGTTTATCAGGTGTTAGCGGCCGTCGTGAGTTCCCTTCGGGAACGGATACGATAATTTTTATTTTATTTTTTATGGTTGTGATATGAGTGCGCATTTACTTATATTTATTGCATTACTAAAAGTTAAACTAAATATTAAGGCTCACATCAATTGTCACCACTATACAATCTCAATCAGAAACACGCAGGATATCTTACCGCATTTGCCCACCACAGTCACCCCGCCAAAAACGTCGCAAGTCGCCTTAAGCTGTTGTACAGGTGTGTAGCCATTGTCACACGTTCCCACCAGTTGATTGTTTACGGCAGTGAATGAACCTTTCCTAAAAGTTCCGTTTGGAACAGTTGGTTTTGTACATATCTTGGCTACCAGCAACACAGTTCAGAGACAACATATAGAAAATAGTTGGTGGGTTGTTTGGTTGGTTTATATGCTACTTCCCAGTACAATTCAAAACCAGTGCTCAGAACTACAGCCACAACAATGGAGAGGCCCTCTGAAGAGCGCAGATGTGCTGTAGAGGTTGATGGGGGAAAGGTGTGTGATACACAATATCCCTGTGTCTTAGTACGGAGGCTTTCCCCACCTCAGCAGGTAGCTAAAGTGGGGCGGTCCAAGACCATGATTGAGAAATAGAGGGTACCAGGTTCAAGTCCTGCTTGGAAGCAGAAGGGCTTTTTTCCAGCCGTGCTGCAACCCAGAGTTTAGTTTTGGAACTCGTGGCCTGGAATGACGGAAGCAGTGTTGCAGTGCATGGGATTTTTCGTCATGGAAAGTTGCACGATTCAGGCAAAGGGTTCACTTTGCTTATGAACACTGACCTCGCACTAATATTGCTGCCTCACTAAAAACTGACGGAGACGTGAAAGTTTATCAATTAATCAAGGAAATGTTTTTCAAAACTGAATGACGAAAAGGCAACACTGTACCTCCAAGGATATCTGTGTATTTCCAAGTGAAGCGTGCCACACATGTGTAATGCACATTCCCCTTGCTCGACTGGGCAAACCTTGCTCTGACCTAAACACCTCCCACTCACTCTAAAACCGGATTTGCCAATCTATAATACCCTAGAGGTATTTGGTTTTACAAGTTTACATACTAGTGTTCATACTAATACTTAATAGGGTGACACCTTAAAAGAGAACCGTAATTATACAATGGAGACAACAGCAGAATTTTCGCCCGACCATGCCATGACAGTTCTGTTTGGTGGTGAGTGAATTCACGCAGCAAATGCCCCAGGCCGGGGGCCTCTTGCGTACTTGCAGTGCGGTGTTGAAGCGCAAATGTCTGAACTGTCGCCCCGTTTTTCAGTATGCTACATGGTTGTATCTCAGAGTTCTAGAATCGGTTATTTAAGTATCGATCATGTCCGCAGTATATTGCACCTTTTCTCCATGTGTAAGCACTTCGTCCATCTGGTATCTCAAAGCGCAGGATCACAATTCTTCACTTCATTCTATGTATAAATATGTGACTTCAAATTAATGCTAGCCATTATTTATTCTTAACCTCCACTGATCAGACCTTAGTGATCCAAACAACGCTGCCTGGAGGTAATTATATCGGTCAGTATATACAACCTGTAGTCATGCTGCTGATGTCATTGCCGGCCAGAGAGCGTATGTGGAGGAGGTGGAATTGCTTCATTGTTCATACTACTTGGTCCGCCAAGTATTAGTTGATCCTTTGCGTGCTGAGTAGCCCTTTACCAAAGGTGCTCGCCCTTTTTTCGCCCTTTTTGGAAAAGCCCGTTTCTTTCGCCCTTTATTGCGTTTTTTGGTGATTATCGCCCTTTTTGAGCTTTTTTAGCTGAAAAAGTGCTAAAATCTGTTTGCTCATGCATGCGATCACAGTTTCCAAGTGCTCGATGGGCCTTGGCATGCCGCTTTTTTGGGGGGCAACAAGTGCTAGTTGGTGAAGCTTGTACACAATGCTGTAAAAAGTGGGTTTTTTTTACTAACTTCCTGTTTTGCCTTTCGTGGACCAATGAATGGAAGAGTGCGTATTCATTTCTCAACTTGGGTTCATATCTGAACATGTATCATGGCTATGCTTCACTAAAAAAGAGCACTTTTTGCCTGCTTTCACTGAAACAAGAGCACTTTTGGCCTGTTTTCACTGAAAAAAGAGCACTTTTTCAGCATATTTTGAGGGCCGCGAAAAGCACTAAGTGCGAATTAAAAGAGCACCTTTGGGAAAGGGCTAGTGCACTAGTGCTGAGTACGAGTTAATTCGCGATTTATGCATGACCTGATCCACTATGTACGTTAACTCGCAAAAAAGTCGCGCGATATATCGCAGTGGACAGACGAGTTTACAAACTTTGTAACTTCGTCGAACATAAACATACGGCAACAATCAATATACCGTTGGAAAGGTCTTGTACTCACCTTTCCGGGTATAGAATGTTCTTTGCGATAGAATAAGAATCCATTGAGCGGCAATTAGATGAACACGGAAATCACGAGCCAGAGGTAACGCGAATTTTTGTTCATGACTTCTTTTTGTTGATGAGCGTGCCAGGGGATTTCCCTTTGGCACGGCGCATGCGTGATGGACATCAAATGAGGCGCTTGGATCTCAGCTTTGCAGCGCAGTATGAATCGTGAAAATCGGTTGAATTTGGGCAAGAAGCCGAACAAGAATGTGAAATTGAGTTGTGCCGTTCCGAGGCACGGTGGAGTAGTTTGGAGAGGACGTGGAAGTGGCCCTGATGTGTGTCTATGGACCTGGGAGCTGCCAGGATGGATTCGCTTGGTCCTGACCTTTCCAATGAGTCCAGAATGATGAAAATCCATCAAGGTGGAGTGAAATGAGAATAAATTTCGTTCTGAGCTGTGAGTGCATACTCCAACAAGAGAGTCAGTGCGCTGGAAAGCCAGTGGATTGGAGAAAAGAGGGCTCAGAATGCGAAGGGTCAAAATTGGCGCATATCTTCTCACTTGGTTTTTCGGTGTTCTGCCTGTGTCACGCGGCATGGAACCACCGATTCACCATCCGAACATAACCAATGACCATTGCATCCAACAACATGACAGCACAAACCATCACAGAAGTTGCGATTGGTTAGTTTGAGTCTTTTTGACGGAGCTGCCGCCGACGAACACTTCCGTCAGCGCAAGAAAACACTGCAACCTCCGCTCGAGTCCATTAAATAGGTCAGTATGTTCGCATTTCAGACCGATGGAGAATACAGTTTCTGTCTACTTCCAGCTGTCTGATGGCAAGTATCGCTTACCCCGGGGAGATATAGAAAAGCTGAAAAAGCGCTTCGTGAGCTTGAATTTCAGTGCTTGCACAGTGCAGCGCCTAGTGAAGGACTATCACCAGAAAATCGCTGACGAAGAAACTGCAGCTCATGTCGATATCTCCAGTAAGTGAGACCAATCCGGCGGACACACTTTGAAACTCACAGAGGACAGAGCAACGGAGCTAATCAAAGAAAACAGCAAGTCCTGAGGGAAACACTAGTGCAAAGGACTTTCAGGAAACTAGCCGAAAAGCCTGGTACATGGTGCACGGCGTTAGGACTTAGTCACCTAGGTACGCACAGGACCTGAGGTGCTACATCAAGCGGAAGCTATCACTGCGCTGCATGTACAAGCACCAGCAGCTCGCGTGAGTGCTGATCAGCAAGTACGACAAGCGCAAGAGGCGATTTCAAAAAAGAACACTGATATGGCGTTGCCTTTTTGTCTCAAACAAAGTCGCATTATTGCGACGAACGGGGATAACACTAGAGAGGTTGTGCATAACGAAAATTTGTAACTTAGACGTAGTCTGGCCACGAGTAACGAAAAAGGAAAGGAACTTTCGCGAGGATGGTCGCAAAACTTGAAGATCTTACGTTTTGAACTTTGGCTTCTTTCTCGCAAGCTTCTGTATACATGTACATGTAGCTGTGTTGATGAAGGGGGTGTCAAGATTTGTTCGCCATGGCCTTTGAAGTCGTTCTGCGAGTTCTTCCTACTCGGCATCCTGTGGAGCTGATGGATCTCTTTCCCGCTCTCTCAGCGATCCTCTGTCACCTGGACAGCGCTCGGGTAGTTCTGTCAGATCTGGAAGTCCAGTCAGTGCTCGCCCTGTGACAAAATTATTCTGCTGAAACCTCGCAGCAGAATTCTGCCACTTTGGCATCTTAATCTTCCCCTGCGACGTCTCAGCGAAGGACATTATTTTGATCTCGCGATGGACCTGGCCTTCTCAGGCAGCTTCGTTCTCACGACTAACCGTTTCGACGAGGGTCTCCAGCCATGGAGATCGTTGCCTGTGAGCTGGAAAACTTGAGCCCAACTCAGTTCGGCGGTGTGCCTACACGTGGGCCGGAGTGCACACTTGTACTTGATTCAAAAAAGTACTCGAAAGGGTCACCATGGTCACACTACGTTTTTCGTTGAGCACAACAGATTTTCTTTACGTATTGTCGTCACTTCCAGATGGCTCAGATTGCGAAAGATCTTTACGAATTTTCGTTATGCACAACCTCTCTACCTACAGCCAACATGCGGGCAGTCTCACTCAGCTTCTGATCGGCAAAGTGACAGACACGCACTGCCTTTGAGCGTGATTCGAGACGAGGAGAAGTGGAACAAGCCATGAAACGTGCAGCAGCTGTCCGAATCGAACGTTTTGAGCTCTTCTTCCAGCGACGATAGTGGCGAGGAGGATGTGTAACTTGCTTGAATTTTCGACTGAGTTGTTTACTGACATGTAAATAATCATGTATATAGTATAATGCTTTGTTATCTTGGCTTAGGCCGCAACCACAGTGCAAACTTTCATGCATATCTCAGTACAAGTCGGCACGCAACCACACTACACTCTTTGGTCTGCATAGATGACGTTTTCACGCAACCAGCACGTGACGTTGTCGTACCAAAGCGTGTGCCTTGCGCTGGAAAAGACCGGGAAATTCAAAACCAATGCTGATGCTATGTACGACGACCAGGTACAAAAACAAAAGTTGCACACAGGAGATGGAGCGCGAAAACGACGAAAACGACAAACGTGGCTTTCTACAGGGGTGCGCCAGTTGCTGAAAACCTACAAAGCGCATTTTGCATTTCGCACGCGTCGGCATGACGATTTCTACTGTAATGCCGTTTGTACGTGATTTTGTACCTAGTGTGGTTGCAGCCTTACTTCAAATATTGATATTTCCTTCCTGAGGCAAGTGTGAAGATAAGCGCCAATTGTAACTGGGCAGACTAAGTACCGTTGAAACCAATTACACACTCCTCAGGGCAAAGTCGTGTTTGAATGGACGTTCATACCGAAAGCCGATTTTCAACGCTGTTTCGACCACTAAGGTCTCATCAGTGAATGTGATTTAGCTCTACCCACACCAAGGCGCATGGTTACAAATGGAATGGAGATGCGGTCTATTTGAAGCACGTCCGATTGTATTTCGTATTTTTCACAAACAATGAAATTAACACACATGCACCCAAGTCCGTCAGTTGCTGGGAGCAAGCTCACGGGATACTGTTGTAACACTGATTTTGCAATCTGAAAACCACACAAGAAAGCTTACTGCATCCGGCTAGTGAGGTAATAGAGCTAGGAGCTTTTAAGCAAGTCACTTTGGGGTTACCGACAACCTCATATCCCTGATTACATGTCAAAGTCAGCGTATTCAGAGATTCTTCTTCGGAGAATACACCGTTGCTGTAAGACCCATAAGCTGGATCCGTAGGCCGTAGACAAACTAACAACAGAGATCAAAGGGCAAAAAGAGGCTTGATGAGTGTTTCTAGTATTTCATGTTTCTTCTGGTTATGTTGGGTCGGGTATGCCTATCATGGATAAGTCCGCACCGCCAGGCAGCTCAAAGCCTGAGCCTCCACAGCCACTATGGAGGCTGACTTGAAGGCCAATACTTGTCACGGTGTCAACAGCTCGCCGGGAGCATGGATGGAGGGATCATCCAAGACATTGGTTGGAATCTCCAGAAGTTTAGTGACTATTTAGTGACTATTTAGTGACCATTCTTCATCAACTTTCTACAGTACCAGCATGTCATGTAAACCGGTTCATCAGCCGGCGACTAGTGTCAGGGCTGACGAGCCTTTCTCAACAGAAGACGTTTGTGCAGCGATACAGAAGCAAAACGTAGGTGGAGCAGTCGGTCAGGATGGCAATTGCAGTGAGATGTTGCATGCAGGTTCTGACATTCTAGCTGGTTGGGTGTCCTCATTTTTCAATCTAATTTGCCAATTACAGCACTGCCCAGCAGACATGACTACTGGAATTATTGTGCCAATATACAAAATGGCAAACCGAAAGGAGCCCTGAAGAGTAACAGACCAGTAATGCTATCGTCAGTGGTTTGGAAAGTCCTTAAAGCATGCACAGACATTAAGGAGTTCAAGCTTCAGCTTCTTCGTCCTAAATAATCTCACCATTTTCGTCATGCCTCCCCTTGCAGTACTCTCTTTGTTTCTCTCCTTATTATTCAGTTCGCCGTGGTTGGCTACCACCCGACTTCTCATATATATTGGCAGTCTTCTGACGAGCCAGGATATGTTGAATTAATAATAATAATAAGTCCTTACATTCTTACAACCATAATCACAAAGAGAATTAGCACCAATATTCAGCAATTTGTAGACGAGTCACAAGCTGGTTTCAGACCAGGTCGCTCAATGGCTGATGGGATTTTCTGTTTGCGGCCTCTGTGTCAAAGAGCTTTGCTACTTTGCTGGAAGTATTCGGCAGCATTACTTGATTTCAGCGGCGCATTCGACACAGTGAACCATAGCAAGGCGCTCGATCAAATGTCCGCTTCGGGTGCACTCACCTCAATGATTAAATTGCTAGTCTCCGACACGACAGCTAGGGTGAAGATTGCTGGGCAGCTCAGACCTCCCTTCTCGACCAATATCAGAGTAGGTCAGGGAGACCCGATGTCTCATGCGATGTTTATTGTCTACGTAGAAGGTGCGATGAGGCAGGTGAGAGCAGCCTGCACCTCCCCTTCATGCCTACCTACTCATTTCTCACAGTATGCAGATGACACCACAATACATGACACTCATCGTGAGGCTGTGGTGGCCGCTGCAGCGAAATGTGAGCCAATTTTCGCCCAGGATGACCTGATACTAAATCTAACAAAACCTCAATTTGTAACACCTTCCCAGGATGATGAGGCATGAATAAAGAGGAAACTAGTCTCTTGGGATCTGGAAGTGACATCGAAAACCGTAGCAATGCCGCTAACCGAGCATTTGGCACTCTACCCTGAAAGAGACCCTTTATTATATAGCATGTTTATGTTTACCATACTTATCCTTTAGCGGGGAGTGGTGTTTTCTTTCAGGTTTGCCGAGTGGAAGTTTCGATGGACTTCTCGTGTGCTCTGGATGGCAGTCGTGAGTCAGTAAAGTGAGAATTCAAGTCGGCAGGAATCGCGCCCGCTCACACTTAGGGAGCAACACACAATTCCCCAATTATCGCCAAAGTCGCACCAACCTCTTCTACACACTTATCCTTACGGTTCTATTATGCAACTGTGGTCTGTGGACCTTGACAGCAGCACTTGGCAACAGGCTTGACACGTGACATCGCCGCAAACTATGATCCATTGTAGGCAAAGTGAATCCCCAAAAAACATCGAATAAAAACTTCTACAAGCTGTCCAACCAAATTGGTTCTGCGATGCTTACTGTCCTCATTCACGTTGATCTTTAGTGTTATAAGTTCCACGCTTGCAACCTTTCTGTTCATCAGGTAGCAGAGATGACGCCCGAAGGTGGGCTGTGATCTTTTTGCTCAGAATGCTGCAGGATAATTTCCACATGACTGGAAGGCAGGTAATTGGTCGGTAATTGGTTAAAACGCTCTTGCCAGGGTCTTTCATGATCAGAACTGTGCGACCATGATTCATCCAAGCTGGCACTTCGGCATCTTGCAGGCATGCGTTAAGCATTCGGGCCATTGCAGTATGCAAAGAGGTCAACTTCTTCACCCAGTACCACTGAACACCATCTGGGCCTGGCACCTTCCAGTACGGCATGCCGGCTAAAACTCTTGCACATGCATAATGAAAATGCACACCTCATCTTGTCCTTAACCCTCTGACTACCAGCCATTCAAATATCGATCCATGTGGATCGATGCAATAGGCAATCACTAAATATTTTGTCTCACGCTCAAAAATTGTCGGATTATTACAGATGAGGGCTTTATGTCTTCAGAAAGACCTTGGCTATCGACAGCAACTATCGCTTTCACTCCTTGGTGCATATCTGGCGCATGGCGAAGTATTTTTGTAGACTGTGAATTGACTCAATTGCGAAAATAATGGGTAGTGAAAGGGTTAAACTTCTCGGAGGTCACTTTCCACAGTGGTCGCCCACTCTGCTTGTTGATCATAGGTCACGGGTGAGGACCTTATGCCTTGCTAGAAGGCTACAGCATTTTGTGAGTCAAGTGAGGTACCGTCTGATGGTTTGGCGGGTGTAGTGCCGTTCCCTTGAAGTTCACAGTAGACTTGTCTCTGGTCTCTCTCAAAGGTTCCATTCTGTCGAAACTGCCGGGATCGCTCATCGGAGCGCTTGTTCGCAGCGGATGTAGCATGAATTTGCTGCTTAACCTCTTCCAGTACGACATTAAGTCCCCTTTTCAGGATCTCGTGTCTAGTGGCTAGCTTGTCCTTTACCCTCTCATCTGGCAATCGTTGCCGACTCCATTCGCCGAGTCAACCATAATCTTTGCACAGCCTGGCCAGCTTAGCAAGCTGCCTCTTTCGCCATCTGTTTTCATTACCTGCCCACTATGGGCCAGCAACGGCGGTGGAGAGTTCTCACCAGCCTAAACGACCCAGATCCGTAACTACAGTAACGACCACCCTATCCAGCTCTCTTCCCAACCTATCACCATCGTTGAAGCTGCGAAGCATCTTGGAGTGTATTTAACACCCGACCAGTCCAACACCGTCCACCTTCAGACCATCCTGAAAACCTTCCAACGTCGTGTTAATCTGCTATGCTTCATGGGACGGCATCTCGCCCCCACAGCCTTTCTACTTCTATATAAAGGTTAAGTCAGACCCACCCTGGAACACGCCACCTCGGCCTGGTCCTATGCCATCACCAAAGCTGAGCTGGAGCGTTTAAATATTTTACAATCCAGAATAACTAGGAAATATTTGCTACGTAAAAAAAGTCAATGTAGATAGATGCGAAACGAAACCCCAGTTAAATGCCCTTTGTGACTTGCACTTTCGCAGACAAGTATCAGCTCTTGTTACTCTATTTAAAATTATCCATATATCTCCAGAACACCTACATATTGGATGACAAAGGGACACCTCTCTCTGACAATGCCATCCAGGATCTGCTGTCTGCCCAATAGGACATATCAGGGAACCCCCAGCCAGACAACCGTGCCGTCCTCAAAGTTGCTCATTTAAACATCTGCAGTCTACGAAACAAAGTTCATGAAATCCATCATATCCTGCATGCCAATAAAATTCACATCATGTCAATTAATGAAACCTGGCTAGACAGCTCAGTATCAGATTCCCTGCTGAACATCCCTGGATATCGGATATACCGGAACGACAGGAACTTGAGGGGCGGAGGTGTGTGCTTGTACGTCATGTCTAGTCTCCGCGCTCGTCTCATCATGCCCGCATCCAACACACATCTGGAGTCGTTGTTTGTGTCAGTTCGCATTGCACGGGAGCCAGATGCGTGTAAGCTCCTCGTGAGTTCAGTCTACCGCCCACCGAGCTCTGGTACAGAATTCTGGGAGCAGTACAGTGCCCAGTTGGATGTCATTTTCGTGGACAGCTCTGACCTGCTAGTTCTGGGAGATTTGAACACGGACATCTTACAACCGACTCTACATCATAATCATCATCTACTTAAGCTTTGTGCAGAGCACCAGCTGCAGAACATTGTCCACGCACCAACTAGAGCGCCGTCAAACACGTGTCTTGACCTGGCTCTGTTGAACACTACCTTTCCATTGCCCAATCCAACGATCATTCCCATGTCAGATCTTACTGATCACCACCTAGTCCGCCTTGATATTGTAATACCGGAATGGAAGCCCCCAGCAACCCAGAGAACTAAGGTTGTGAGAAAACCAGGAATAGCTACTATCAACTACTCTCAGTTTAATGCTGACCTGAATGATATGCTCGAGGACTCATCCTCATTTTCAACATTGGACAGTCAAACTTGCCATCTTCTAACGTCTATCGCTGCTGTTACTGATACGCATGCTCCATCTAAACAAGTTAGACTACCCCTCTGTCCCAAACCTAAGCCTCAACCGTGGGCAACACCAGAGTTACGGAAACTGCTGCAGCGCAGAACTACTCTGCATCGAAGAGTCCTTTCGCAGCCTGGGAATATGGTTCTTAAGCAACAGTATCGTTCTGTCAGACGCGAGGGGACGCTTCTGAGTAGGAGACTGAAATCCCGTTTCCTGATGCACCAGTTCTCGGCACTCCGACGAAATCCTAGAGGTCAGTGGGCTCTTCTTAACAGTCTGTCTGGCAGGCGGAAAGTAAGAAATCAGCCAATTGCATCTCTCAGTAGTCTGACAGAGACATTTGCTAACATAGTGCACGATCCAAGCCGGCCTGCTGACATATGTTTACGCCCAGCCACCCAACAGCCAACTACTGCTGCTCGACTGTCCCATTTTCGACCCGTAACTGTGGCGCACATCACCACACTGCTCAAAGCAACAAAC